GATGGATGGATGGATGGATGGATGGATGGATGGATGGATGGATGGATGGATGGATGGATGGATGGATGGATTCAGGGATGGATTCAGGGATGGATGGATGGATGGATGGATGGATGGAACTTTGATATTTCAATTCTATTCTATTCAAGTTGTTGTTCAGATACAAACTTTATAGTTTTATATCAGGGACTACCCTGTTTGATATGTTATGATATGTTACCTGTTGAAGCTTTTGTATCCTGGTAGGTTTGTTCGGTGCTCCAGCTCAGGCATACGAGAGACAAGTGTGTCAGCCAAAGCAGGGTCATTGATGATGGCCTGCTCCCAGGGTGAGTGGTATGACTTTGGGACAGCTGTAGAGTTGAACTTCTCTGGAGGGATGTCTTTCAAAGGACCCCCATATCCTGAACAAGTTATATAACACAGACATGAATTAAGGGTCTTTCAATGTCAAATAATGAACAAGTGTCTTACCCTTCCCAGGCATCTAATTATTATTTATAAATGCTTTGTCATCTTAAAGTTGTTCTTTTTACACAGAACAACCTAAATAAAGATTAAAATAATTTTACACTGCCTTGTGAAACTGTCTATTCCCCCTTTTTTTTTTTTTACCTTTATTTTCAAATCATTTGTGTGTCAAATCACACATTTGACACACAAATCTGTATGTTTTCATAGGTCTTTTCTCTGACAGAATAGCACAAAGTGAAAATAGTGAAGGAGGAATGTTTCCATTTTATGAAAAGCTCTAACCTTTTACTGTAGGTATTCTTAAAAACAAAAAAGTAAATTACTAAACAAATGCCCAAATACAACCAAATGGCTTTTGAAGTGTCTAATGAATAAATAGATTCCACCTGTATAGAACTGAACCAGAAGAAGAGAAGCAAGTAGTAACATTTTATCCCAAGCTCTGCTGAGAGGACATTTCAATCCATCATCCAAAAATAAAAGCTTTTGGTACAATGCAAACAGAAATTGTGAGGTTTCTTAGTTAAAAGAAAATAGAAAGTATAGAATTTGTTTCATTTGCTAAAAGGCACATTCCTGGCTGAAGATGGGAGGTGTAAAATCTTTACTTAGGCATGTGATACAGCAATCCCCTGTTTTATGCTTGTTAAAGTTCACAGCAAAACAAATCAAGGGGGTAGCTTATGCAGGCAAGTCTCCCCGCATCGTGCATAGGTTTTGATAGGGAAAGGCCTTTCCAAAGCACTATTCTTCAACCTCAGCGCTTCACTCAGGGGGGCTCACGAGCTCAGCTGTTATGTAACGTTCTGAACGGGTGGGTAGGGTGGGGGCGGTTACCGGTTCACCTCTTGACCTCTCACAATGAAAAATTCCTCCTCCTTTCCTGAGTTTATGTTTTGCCCTGGAGGAAGAAGGAGAGAGCAAACAGACCTGCAGGGGATGTTTATGATTTTTTTGGGAGAGTCTGTAACAAAGCCCCTTTTTTATGGAGGTATAGTGTAGCTGAAGTCAGATATTTTTGACACACCCAGCTAAACAGAGAGAGAAAATCAGCTTTCAGAGGAATGGTTTGATATCTTTGACCACAGTCTTTACAATATCTCTCAAGGTCCAATCTAGAATGACAAATTCAGCTCTATGGGGATCAGATCAATTATTTTAGGACATTTTAACCATTTAATAACACATGCTCTTTGGCCTAATTTCGGCTACAGCTGGGGTGACTTCATTCAGATACAGTAGGGGTGGTGTCTGATCCAGAAATAACCCCACCTACCCCACCCCCAGGATGCACTCATCCTTACAGCGGCGTTGGTTTTCTGTCAGTTGGACAAAACTTTAGGACGTGAGAGGAGGATGTGGGCGCAAAGCAGATGGTATCAGTGGCCCAAGAGGCAAACAGGAAATACGTCCTGTATGGCAAATCTTTGTTGGGATTTAAAAGAAGTTTTAAGGGAATAAAGTAGGAATGTGGAGGCAGAAAACAAAGCAAGGAGATAATAAGTCAAAAGTGTAATCACATTTTTGCCTGAGGGAAGTAGATTCCAGGCAAGAAGAGAATGTTTTGCTTTGTGATCAAAGCCTGCATCAGTGCAAACAATAAAAATAGTTGAAATCTCATCAAAACAGGGTACATCCAGAACTTTGTAAACACCACGTCCTCTTAGTGTCTTCATCTGAAGATAAAGCTGGCTTGTACACTTAATTCTTAGGATATGTTAGATAAAATTATCTCTGCTTGTACAAAGTTTACTTTGATTAAATTATGGAAATTAATCAAGCGTTTTCAGGAGGAAGTTGGTTACAAGCAAACCAGATAGTCATTACAACATAGCTAGACAGTTTTAGCCACAGTGTATCAACGATATATAACTCCACAGGGTCCTTGAGACATGTTGTGGTGTTCTGTGTCAGCAGTGTTACTGACCCGGGGCGATGCTGTCCGGGTTTGGCACCATTGTGGTATCTTGTGTGTTGGATGTCACTTTGCACGGCTGCTCCAAACTCAGATCGTTCCCACTGCCGCTGGTGGACTCGTTCACTGTCTGGGAAACTGTTTGGCTCTGGAAGAAAGATTGAAGCGGTGGAAAACTGTTGATTTTATTTCTGATTAGCCTTTCCTGCATTATGTACCTATGCCTTTTTTTTTTTTTTTGTACCTCAAAAGATAGGTATTTCATAGATGCTTTGGTACTATGCACTTTAACAAGCTATAGGGCCATTAGAAAAACAACATGGCCCACATCATCAAACATTCTATGTGGGGAGCAACTCTGCTGAAGTGTTGGATATTTTTTCACTCAGCGTACATATCAAAAACTGAAAAACAAATGGAGTTACAATGACTATGTACGCTGTATAACTTTTTAACAAGGAAGTGTTTGCAAGCATGCTACTGTTGTTTCAAAGAGCATACCATCTTTACCAAGCAGTTGGATTTGGGTTTTTAATGACAAATATTTTTCCCACAATAAACAAATCAATTGAAATAGAGGGTTGATTTTTAAAAAACTTTTAAGGTGCTGAAGGCAAGGGTGGGTTTGGAATTAATCATTGACTCATGAGGAATTTAGTGCATTTTCCAGACTATAAGCNGTACCTCAAAAGATAGGTATTTCATAGATGCTTTGGTACTATGCACTTTAACAAGCTATAGGGCCATTAGAAAAACAACATGGCCCACATCATCAAACATTCTATGTGGGGAGCAACTCTGCTGAAGTGTTGGATATTTTTTCACTCAGCGTACATATCAAAAACTGAAAAACAAATGGAGTTACAATGACTATGTACGCTGTATAACTTTTTAACAAGGAAGTGTTTGCAAGCATGCTACTGTTGTTTCAAAGAGCATACCATCTTTACCAAGCAGTTGGATTTGGGTTTTTAATGACAAATATTTTTCCCACAATAAACAAATCAATTGAAATAGAGGGTTGATTTTTAAAAACTTTTAAGGTGCTGAAGGCAAGGGTGGGTTTGGAATTAATCATTGACTCATGAGGAATTTAGTGCATTTTCCAGACTATAAGCCGCTACTTTTCAGTAGATATCAGCAGCTTATAGCCTGGTGTGGCTTATACTGTTTGTGTAATTTTCCAGTTTGTTAAAGCACGGCTTATAGTGAGGTGCTCTCTATAGTCTTGAAAATATGGTATTAGTCAAGCACATTGTTTTGGTTATCTGTTGTTTTTAACCTTGATCATCATATTGGAAGTGTTATTTTACATCCTTGCATATAATTCCAATACGCTCACAAAAAAATCTGTGGGGCAGACAAACATTTGCAGACCTCCCTGGTGCACCCCTGTCTGTCCAAACACAAACTTTAAATGACCAATGCCTTGCTGTTAAATTGATTTTATTTTAACTAAGTTAATGAGATTCATTGATGATAATCCCACCTTTGATCAATCAAAAGCCCAACTGAACAGACTCTTACAGAAAGGCACAGAGTGATGTTCAGCATATTACAGAAAGAAGAAAAAAAAAAAAAAATCCTTGCAAGAACCTTGGATGTAAACTAGATGGAAATGCAAAGGGTGCAGTGAACTAAAAAAAAACAAATTTGATCTTACTGGATTCAGCTGGGCAGCCTTCTTTGTTCTGTGTTCATTTTTGTCTGAGCATTCACACAGAAAAAGCCGTTAACGATTACATGATGTATAGACAATGTTTGTCTAAATCATGTCTGTTGTTTTTAAGCTTACAGAAATAATAATTATACTGTTGCTAAGATACTCCACTGCTACAGAAGAAATGTTACCAGTATGTGATTTCTTTAATAAAAAAATTAAACTTTCCATTTAATTTCATAGACACGAATCATTATTTAAAATTATGAGTTGTTATAGATTGTTTTTAAAAGCTTTCTTAGATCAAAGCTAAATTGTTAATTTCTTGAGAAGGGGTCTGGCTGCAGAGCTGCACTGTCAGGAACCTGGCTGCAGAGCTGCACTGTGAGGTCCCCTGCGCTGTTAGAACCGGAAGTTTATTTGTAGATTTTCAAAGTAAAAGCAAAACTGATTTGAAGGCTTTCTAAAGTAAAAGCTAGCTTAGATAAAATCCCCTTGAAGCTAGTGCTGTTATGCTGGAACCTTATGTACAGGCACAATTTTTCTCTCCACCAAACTCCTATCTGGAAAAATAGATATGTGCAAAAAATAGACATTAGTCTCTTTATTTGGATCGCTGGATGCAAAAGGGCATTTGGTCTATAAGACATTTTCTATAGGACAGTAGAGAATGGCTGTGCTAACACTGTCATAAACTCTCATCTGGCAGCAAATACGTGCTGCGCACTATTCCTGAAGGCTTCAAGTTCAACTTCCGGAATAACGTACGGTCCTGACAGTGCAGGACAACCCATTTTGCAGGTCTGCAACAAAGGGTCCTGAAAGTACAGGTCTACAGCCAAACTCCCTTGCATTTCTTAATAGGTTAATCTTTAAAAAATGCTTTTAATTAGAAAGATATGCTATAAAGACTCACATCTTCTGGATGGGAATTTGTTTTACAAATGTGAGACCAACATAAGTATCTTTAATGACATAAAGTGTGAAAGATTAGATGAGGTGTTTGTGTGCACTACACATAGTGAACATCTTGTTGACAGGCTGTATTTTCCAGTTTTTTTTTAAGTTGTTGTCTTTTCTGGAAACAAAAAAGTATTTTTTGCTAAACAGAGAAGCTGCATGCTGTTCCTTTCTTTATCGACTTTGGACACATTGTTTTCTTGGCTTGAGATGAATTGTACTGCAGCCCAGGCTCTCAGCTTTTATCCATTGGAAAGATATTTATGATGATTTACTTAAGGACTTCCTCAGGAAATGTTGACAACTTGAAACTAAATTTTTCTATCGCCCCAAAGCAATAAATAAAGCAAGATATGAGCCTGATACTTCAAAGATATATATATATATATATATATATATATATATATATATATATATAT